GCTCGGAACACGATTGCCCGCCACTCGCAACAAGGAACAACAACGGCTTCATCCGGCCCAGTGCAGCTCTGCCAAACAGCAAAGCAAGTTGCGTAGAGGCGCAGCGGCGTTTGCAGAGCGTATGTGGTCCAGTATGACTAAAGCATCATTTTGCAGCTGCTCAGACCGCCCGCCATTGTTTCCACGGAGAAGCTGATCCGGTAAGTTGACGTGAGCTCCAAGCACAAAGGCAGGGTCCTCCGCCGGACGCTGGACGGCGGGTTGGTCTCGTGTGGCACGCGTGAAATTACCCTGATTCTTGGCGGTCCTTTGTTGTCCGTATGACTTTTGCTGACTTGGTTTGGACCCTGGCTCGTCAACTGCTTACGACTCCAAGTCAGGAAAGCTTACTCTATGTGCGCTTCGGAAGTGATTCAGGCACAGACTTTTCTTTCGTTCATGTGGTACAGCATCGACTTGGCACCGACTCGCAGCGGAGGAAGGATCCAAGAGTTCCTCGTCTGCTAGCTCGCCTTGCAAGCGGTGAAAGTGGTCCCGTGCGCTGGGTTGCCGTCACGGCACATAGTATATGTACGCAATCATCTCTACGTCAAGCATAATCGTGTCCGAATTAGTTTAGTGGCTATGACGGCGCCTTGTCAGTGTTCTCCGCGCAGAAAAACGGCGCAGACCCGGGTTCAATTCCCGGATTCGGAGAATATATCCCTAAAATTTTTTTGGTGATCTTTTTTGTCTTTCGTGCGAGCGGGTTCTCTGTGTAGACTGAGAGAAGAGCGACGTTTGTTTGCACGACTGGGAGGTCTGTAGGCGAGGTAGCGGATCGGTGGCTTTGAACACGGTGGACCGGCGCAAGCCTTCCCGCACTGCTGTTGGAGTAAGCTCTCTCTCTCCGCATTGTTTCGGTTCTGCAGCCTGTACCAAAAAAGCAAGAGCGAGAGAGGCAGCCGCCGTCCATTGTTCTTGATGCTCGAGTAGAAAAGGGGAAAGAAAGAAAGAAAGAAAGAAAGAAAGAAAGAAAAGAAAAGAAAAGAAGAAGAAGAAGAAGAAGAAAGAAAAGAAAGAAAAGAAAGGAAAAGGAAAGGAAAGAAAGGAAAAGGAAAAGGAAAAGGAAAAAGAAAAAAAGAAAAGAAAGAAAAAAAAAGAAGATTCATATCATCCTCCGAATCCGGGAATTGAACCCGGGTCTGCGCCGTTTTTCTGCGCGGAGAACACTGACAAGGCGCCGTCATAGCCACTAAACTAATTCGGACGCGATTATGCTTGACGTGGCGATGATTGCGTAAATATACGCTTTGACGAAAACAGCTTTTCTGTCAATGATGAAGGCGACACTGGGACGACGTCCGGATGAGACCTTCGACAGTTGGGATGTATGGCATGCTAATGGGGGTCAATCTCGGTGGTGATAGAATACAATGTGAGTGTCTTGGAGATGGGTTGATCTCATCCGAGCTGCTGCCAAGCCAAGAAATCCATCTCCTGGTCCTCCGGCTCCAAGTGTAGCGGAATTCCATTCTCGTCGAGCAATAGCGCGAATCCAGGTCGGGCATCGCCATCGCCGCCCCTGCCACCTTCCTCGCCCGCGGCTTCAGGCTGCTGCTGTGGAGGCGCCTGGTCCCCCAGCAACCCGTCAAACAGCCGGTGGTAGCACTCCCACCCAGGCACGTTAAAGTGGTGGTACGGATTCTGCGCCGAGATGGGCTTGCCGCACAGGTAGCAGTAGTGCGTCTGGCACGACTTGCACGTCATGTGGTTGCAGCCGTACGACTTTTCGATGGCGATGCCGCACGTGGGGCACGGCGTAGTGTAGTCCGACAGCCACTGCTGCGTCTGCTGTTCTTCTTGGTACTTGCGCACCATGGTCTCGAGCGTCTTGCGCCCGAACTTTTGCTCCATCAGCGCGCGATCGGGGGAGGAGGGCGACAGGGAGAGGTAGCGCCGAATCAGCTCGGATTGGAACGAGACGGGGCACGACGTGGGACCGTGCCACGAGCGCGAACACCAGGCGCAGAACGCAAAGCCGCACGAGAGGCATTCGCGGAAGCGTTCCCAGTGGCCCGAGTTTTCGTCGGACGAGAGACGCACCACGGGCGCTTGACAGCCTGCGCGAGGACAGTACGAGACCGATGGGTCGGCTTCGACCTTGGCTTTTACCGTGAGCGCGTCGAGTCGTGTCAGGCGAGTCGGGCCGAGGATGGAGCTTAGTTCGGATCGTGTCACGAGACCGACAACGGGTTTGTCTTGCTCTTCGCCTCCCGCATCGCCTTGAATGCTCGGTGCCTTGGCGTTGAGACGCTGTGTCTTGGCTTGTGTGGCGATGAGGTTTCCTTCCTGGTCGACCAGATTCTGCTTCTCCCTCTCGCTCCACAGCGTGACGCATTCAGGATCGGGACATCGCTTGGCTTGCCTGTGAAAGCCGTCGTCGACCAAGCTGGACAGGTAGCCAGCTAGGCACTCGGAGCAAAACACGTGGCCGCACCCGGTGAGCCTGGTGCATGCTCTGCCCTTGCGTGTCTCGAGGCAGATGGCACAATCGAACGACGAGGCGTCAAAGGTGGTGCGGCTGCAGAGTCGGGAATGCGCTAGGAGCTGGGCGGCCAGCAACGGTTGAGCTTCAGGCGAAGAGAGATGCTCTTCGAAGAGTAGACTCGATTCGTTCGACTCGGACGCTGCGTCTGGACTTTGCAGGAAGGAGGGTGCATCGTTGACTGGAGGCTGTTCTTCGAGAAGAGTGACCCACATGCTTTCGGAGAGGTAGGTGGCCCAGATATACAGCACCTCCATGCCACTAAGCTCGCGATACTGTTCGTCGAGCTTTCGAAGGATCCAAGCATGGGGTGGATTCTGGGCGGTTGGAGCGCTTGGCAGCCACGGTGCTGCAAGGCTTTCGACGATGGGTGGTTTTTCAGCGGGATATGTCGGTGGAAGTCGGACTCGCAACACGATAGGTGCGATCTGGGTGAGAGGCTGGAGTTGTTTGGTGGACCGTAGCCGTGGAGTTGCGCTTTGAGAGGTGGACGTCGTTCCATTCTGAGCACGGACCTCGTGGTTGTCTCCATTGTCTAGGCTGACCCTTTCCAAAGCGGTCGCTACTGTGTCCACTGTCGTTCCATTTGCAGAATGTTGATTGTAATTGAGCTGTGCGATGCGTTCAGGCTTGTTTACGGCGGCCTTGCCCGGTCGAAAAGCACTGGCAGTGGCATTGAGGTTGCGAGATCTGCGCTCGCCGTTGCTGGTGTGACGACTCTTCTTGTGTTGGTCTACCGAGGTTCTTGTCATCTCCTTAGGGGCTTCCTTGGATGACGGCGTGTGTTTGGAGCTAGAAGCTTGAGCTTGAATTCCGCTGACCTCGTACGCATAAGTGTCGACCGTGATCCGCGTAGGCCGCGGCAGCGTGACTGGGAGGTAGAACTCGAGCACTGGCTCCGGCTCATTCCGTATCAGCTTGACCCTAGGCTCGGAAGGCCTCTGCGCCTCTTGCCCGTCACTGCGCTCGTCCGGAACCGCAAAGATGGATTCGAGTGCCACGACCTCGTCGTCCTGTCGTTGGCGGCATTCCTCGAGGATGGCTTGCGCGTCCATCATGGGACGGCGGCAGTTGGTGTTATGAGGTCGAAGAAGCGCTCGGGCGCCTCGATCTCTGCTGCATCTGAAGGCGTCGGGCAGATGCGGCGAGAGGGGTGTTCGAGCTTGAAGATGTTGATGGTGGAAGGAGGAAAGAGGAAGGGCTCGTTGCCACTCTTTGCTGCATGGCTGAGCTCAGTTTTTGATTGCCGGACAGCAACGACAGCGGCAGAGCAGTCTTTCAAATTTAAGCTTTTCCTCGCTGCGAGGTGGAGGTGATTTCTTCGGAATTGGCGAAAAGGGGTCCAACTTTTTTTTTGATGTGACGAGAAGAAGTGCGAATTCAATGCACCTCGTCACTCCATCCTTCCGTCACTCGAGTCATCCCTCTTCAACCAAGCACCGCGGCCCATTCCGACCATGGTGCGCTTCAAAACACGCTGGCTGCTCCTAGCCATCGACGACAGGCCTCTCGCCACCACATCTCCCTTCCCCTTGTCACCTCCAAACGAGGACTCGGCGCACCCGACCTCGTCCGCATCCCTCCTTTCCGCAGCCCAACACGCTTCGCCTGCCAACAGAGCAGCGGCCGCGCTGACGCCGCAACACATCACGCGGCTGCTCCGCGCCTCGCTGGTGTACAATTTCGGCGACGTCGCCGCTGGTGCATTCGGCGGTGTGCTGACGTGCAAGTACTACAGCACGCATACGGGCACCGCCATCGTGAGGTGCTCGCGCGATGCAGCGCGGCTGGTGTGGGCTAGTGCGACGATGATCTCTAGCCCCGTGGAGATGATCGTGGATGAAGGAGGGAGCTCGAGTGGGAATGTGCCGTCGTTGAGGATCCGCGTGGTTCACTGCGGTGGCACGATCAAGAAGGTGCAGAGCAAGGCGATCGAGTTGGACAGGAAGTTGATCATGCGTCTCAGGACGAAACAGAGGAGACTCGCAGCGGTCAGCTCGAAGGGGCAATCTGCAGTCGGCAGCGTCCCGTCAGTTCCATCCGCTGTGCAAGACAGCACTCCGATCGTTCCGGCTGTTCCGATCGCGCCCATCGACGACGACGAAGACCTGGGCGAAGCGCTCCATCCTGACGCTTCCACCGCTGAAGCCTCTGCAGCGTCAGAACCAACAAGAGCACAACCAGCCCAAAACATCAAGTCCAAATCAAAGGACAGCAACGTCGATCCAGAAACTCAAGCTCTGCTGGCACAGTCGCAAAAGCAGATCAGCTCCATCTCCATGTAATCTCTTTTTCATCCACACAGCCCTTCCCGCGCCGCACACTCTTTACTCTGCAATATACCCAGCCTCATCAGCAAAAAGCATCCCAAGTTTCCGTGATACGTATCCGTTCCAACAATGAGTCACACGGAGCAGAAGCAAACCGATTGTCGATGACCAGCAAAAAAGGGACAAAAAATGAGCTTTGAGATCTCCGAATCCGGGAATTGAACCCGGGTCTGCGCCGTTTTTCTGCGCGGAAACACTGACAAGGCGCCGTCATAGCCACTAAACTAATTCGGACGCGACTATGATTGCCGGAATTTGTGTTGCGTAGATATAGCACCATGCATTTGGCGAGAATTCGTGGACGAACCTTGCTCTCGTCCTCATTCACAGTTCATAGTTCAACACTTCGCAATCCCACTCTTCGGAACACAAATCAGTGGACAGGATGCTTCTACTGAAAGATTGATTCTGATTGTGCGTGCATTACAAGAAAGAGATGTTATGCCCTTGGGTTCGGCTCTACTGCTCGGCCTCGGTAAAGAAGCTCGCCAGACGTCGACCCGCCATCTGCAAGAAGCTCTGTCGCTCCCTTGCGTTGGCGACCAAGCTCGGCGGCAGCGACAGGTATCCGATCTTGTCCTCCACCACGGGCAGCAGCGACTCGGCCAGACCGTGCATCAGCGCGCTCTTGTCAAAGTGCGATGCCACACCCGAAGCGCCAGCAAACAGGGGTGCAGGCGACGACTGGGCTCCCGCTACCGACGACAGGTTGCTCGCACGGTCCGTGTTGAGCGTGCGGAAGAACTCGATGTGTCGGATGAGCAGCACGAGGATCAGCTCCACCGCGTCGAGCTTCGACGTCGACGAGGCGCGCAGCGTCGCCTTGCGCGACGACAGCTGGCGCAGTGCAACAGAGCGGCGTTGAGCGGGCGACAGCTCGCCGGCGCTCACCTCGCCAAGTGCATCGCGCGCGATCTCGTCCAGCTCGTCCTGGCGCACCGAATCGACGTTCTCCAGCAGCGCCTCGATGTTCTCCAGCCCTTGCAGCTCTTTGGCGACCGAGTCCGTGTACTCGTCCAGCGCCGCGACCAGCCCGCCGATGCTAGGCACCGTCGATGCTGCAGCAGACGCACGCTGCGAACGCAGGAAGCCGGCTCGGGACGCGTCGCCGTCGCCGCCGTCCTCGCCAGCACCGTAGGGAGTACGCGATCGCTCGCGGTTGGCCGCCAACGACGGGATCAGCACCGGCCGAACCCTGGCCGTGTTGCTCCCTCGTGCGTCGCTCGCGGCTTCCAAGTAGGACAGCAGCGTCATCTGCAGTCGCACCACCATCGCTCCCACTTTGGCGCTGAAGGCGTTCTCCTCCTCGACTCCTGCACTGCCACCGTTGTGAGGCGCCTCGCTTGAAGCGCGCAGCGCACGCAGAGAAGCCGTCGGCACGCGCGACTCTTCCCGCTCCGCCTCGTTGTAGGGCACCACACGCGATCGCCACGACGCCGTGCTGAGGTAGACGGCGGCAAAGGCAGTAATGGCCGTGTGGAAGGGCGCAAGCGGGCTGGGTGCTTGCTGCGCGTCGTCGTCGAGCGAGGGCATGATCAGCACGAAGATGGCAACCACCAGGTGCGCCTGGCCAAGCTGGGCAAACGAACAGAACTCCTGCAGCGGTGCACGCAACACCGTCAGCAGCGCATCTCGGTGCGCAGTCAAGAGCGCCAGAGCGTGGCGAGGGGCCGCCGAGGCTGAGGTAGGTGCCAGTGGCTTGGACGCGCCGAACGCACCTGTGCCCGATGCTCCACCCAGCGAGAGCGCCGAGCCGGCTGACGTGCTGGCAAGGATGCTGGTCGTCAGCTGCAGCACAGGCGTCAGCAGAGCATTGTAGCGGTCCGTGGCAGCAGGCAGGAAGCTGTCGAGGTCGACAAATTCCTGGTCCTGGTCCGGGCGTGCTGCGAGGAAGTCCGACTGCGCAAGCACGTCAAAGATCTTGGCGTTGAGCAGTCGCTCGGCACCATCGCGCGTCTGTGCCATGCGGTTGAAGAAGGCGAGGCGTGCTTCGTACACGTAGAGTGCATTCAGGCTCGCAGGGTCGGGTCGAAGCGTCTCTTGCAAGGCGAGGTCCGAGTCACGCAGCGCCGTCACGAAGCTCTTGATATAGCCCTTGCGGTCGAGCAAGTCGAGGCACCTCGATCCGCCGCGGCGCGAAGTGGCGTGCGAGGAAGGAGGCGCATCGAGCGCACAGAGCTTGTCGAGCAGCGTGAAGGAGATGGTCTTGGACAGATCGCTGGCGTCGAGCGCATCACGGCCGAGCACATCCACCAGGCGTTCAGCATGCGAGAGCAGCAGAGTTCGAGTGCGCGCTTCCAGGGTGCTCGTCTGCGAGCGGCCGCCAAAGATGTTGGTCGTCGTCGTCGAGACGCCACCCACCGACATGGTGTCGTCAAAGTCGGTCGCGACGATCGAGGCGGCGTCGTTGACACCAGCCTCGCCGATTGCATCGCCACTGCCTCCTGACTTGACCAGCTGGAGGAAGTTGATGAGCGCCGAGTAGAGGTTGCCACGAGCCAGAGTGGTGGTTTCGAGCCGCAGCACTGCATCGATGAGAGCACGCAGCGTTGTCAAGAGCCTGTCGACGGGAAGAGCATCCACGGTCTCGAGATCGAAGGCGCCCGTCGTCAGCTCGATACGGTGCTGTCGCAGCGAGGTGAGCAGCGAGAGCACAGCGCCAGCGACGAGATCGGCGGACGGCACGTCGAGGGCGCCAGCGTCCGTGGAAGGCGTCGAGATGCGAGGAAGCAGCTCCGACAGGCAGTCAAACATGAGACCCGATCGGACCTCGGTGCGGAGCAGACCAGCCGCGCGTGCCAACACCATGTCGAGTGTGTGCCGCCATGCCTGCAGCACGCGTCTGCGCGAGAAGGCGACCGCTTTCTTGGCATTCTGCGCCGAAGCCCACTGCAGCACGAAGGCGGCTTGCTCCAAGAACGGGTTGGCCTGCCCAGCGTCGCGCAGGCTGCCCTTTTGCTGCAGAAGCGTCTTTTCCCGCACCAGAAGGGCGAGAACTGCGCCGAGGTCATACAGACGAGGTCCAACAGCGGCGTCGGGTCGCTTGGCGAGCTCGAGCTGCTCCGGTGTGATGACGGTGATGTTCTGTCCCAGAGCTTCGCGGTCGTCGTACCATTCAAAGTCGAGGCTCTGCAGGATCTCGAGGAAGCGAACACCGCCAAGAGTGCGCACTTCGGCACCACCAGCTCCAAGACGGAAGTCGCGTTCGGTGCCAAGCAGGAGATCGTCCTCGTCGACGCTGTCGTCGGCATCGACACCATCTCCTCCGCCCACGGTGGCGTTCGAGCCGAAGAGAGCAGCCACGACGCGCGCTGCTCGCGACTGCATGCCGGCATTGAGGAGCGAATGCAGCTCCAGCGCCGTGAGCTCGAGCAGCGAAGCCCGCATGCGCAGCGAGGCGGTGACGCGGTCGATCGTCGTCTCAATCGCTTGGCCGTCGGCGAATTGGACCAGACCCAATGCAGCCGAGGCGGTGGTGAGCCCACCACGTTCAGCCGGCACGAGCGAGAGGCTTCGCAGCTGCTGGACGACGTAGTCCTCCTTGGTGCGCAGGTACCGCAGCGTAGCTGCACTCGTGAATGGATGGGTGCAAAGTCGCAGAATGAGCGAAGAGCACTTTTCGGCAAAGCCTGGCGATCGCTCAGCGAGGCTGAGGAAGGAGGCGCCGTCGCTGTCTGACTCTGGGCGCAGGAGCGCCAGAATGGCGTGGATGGCGCTGGGAGCGGCCATTTGCGCATCGGGGTCGATGATCACCTGCTCTTCGGGGCGCACCGCTCGCAGGTCATAGCCAAGCAAGAGATGGGCAACGTTGGGTGCGGGCTGGTTGGGCTCAGTTCCGGCCAGCAAGAGGTTGATGATGGCAATCTGGATGGCCTCGACAGCGTCTCCATATGCCAAGGCAGCAGAGCCTTCGAGGCTACCGCTGGATGCCTGCAAGTCTGCATCTTCGTCTTGATCGAACTGGGATCCTCCGGCGAGAGCGTTGAGGGTCTCGATGACCTTGGCACTGCCCGCATCTCCCGAAGACTCGGCCTCAAGTCGTCCCACGTAGCCAGCCTTGACCCGGCCCGCCTCGTCGCTCATCTCGAGCAAGCCGACGAGACGGTTCATCTTGCGACGGTAGCCCATCTCGCCGAAGCGGTCGACGGCACTGAAGGCGGCGGTGCGGGCGATGAGTCCCAGCAGACGAACCGAGAGCAGCGCCACGTCGTCGCGGACACAGTTGATGAGCAGCGCAATCTGCACCACCGACTCGTGAGCATGCAGCAGCTGGATGTCGAAGCTGCTGTACGAGCCCGAGTTGCCGACACGCGTCGAGACGTCAAAGGGAAGCTGAACGCCGCTGAGGTGAGTGTCGACGAGCGAGGGGATCAGCACCTGGACGAAGAGGTCCTGGTATCGCAGCACACGGTCGAGGATGCTGAGGACGTGTCGCACCGACGAACCGTAGAAGAAGGTGCTGGCGCGGTTCTGGTTGATCGCTTCGAAAGCGGCAAGACCGGAGCCAGGCACGAGGATCCCGAGCATCTCGCCCACCATCTTGGATCCAGTGAGGATGCGACGCATGAGGAAGAAACCGGGATGCGAAGCAAGCTGAGTGAGCAGCGCCGGGTCCGAGACGGCATCGGCACCCTCGCCGGTACGCAGAAGAGCAGCCAGGTCGAACGAGCGCAAAGAACGTTCGACAAAGTCGAGACACGACGCCACGACACGCCACTGCTCGGCGGGCTCGACATAGTCGCGCGTGCGTGCTTTGAGGAAGACATGGTCGATGACAAAGTCGACGTAGGGCTCCACGGAGCGGAACTGCCTTCGCTGCTGCTGCTGCTGCTGCTGCTGCTGCTGCTGCTGCTGCTGGAATGCTGGCTGCGTCTGTCCCTGGATCTGCTGCTGCTGGTCGTACGAGACGATGGTGCTAAAGGGGTTGGCAGTGGAGGTCGAGGTTGAGCTCGAGTCCGTCAGCGCGTTGGAGCCAGCTGCAAGTGCGCTGGGAGGGAGCTGTACGAGCGCCTTGAGGAAGTTGACGAAGCTCGTAGATCCAGGGAAGCTGCGGAGAGGCACCTCGAAGTTCTCGAGCTCGTACAGGACGCCCTTGGAAGCAAGCGGTTTGAACGAGGGGCCGAACGAGGTGCCGTTGCTGTGGAGACGCGACTTGGCGGCAGCATCGTCCGAGGGAAGCAAGCCGCATTCGTCAAAGCGGTCCCAGAGCTGCGTGGCGATGGCGGAAAAGCGGG